CTCATAATAAGAGGGATATGAATATGTATAGTTTAGTTATTTAACAATTATACGACACAAATATAAGCATAGTATTGGTCCATAATGGATCCCAAAAGTTACCATTCATTGTGCTTATCATGACATAATGTTCTCTATGTTTCAATGTTACATCACCAAGTTCTTTCTTAAAAAGTGAGACTCTGTCAGCTACTACAAAGTTGCTGTAGAATAATTAAATTTTCAGTAAAACTGTGTGTACATTCGTTTCACTTCTCAGAACTTCACCACACAACACAGTAACTGATTATGTCGATTCAAAATCAACCACTGATGAATTGTAAAATAAATAATTTAGGAAATTCTAATACTTTCTATTTCGCTAACTGTACGTTTCTCAAAAAGTGTAAAAATGCACTGCACTCAGTTGTAATCATAAAAGAGCTAATAGTTACTATTTTAATATGTTTGTTTAAATTTGATAGAAATTTCATGAAGTAGTTATGTATAGCTGTCATAGTAGGATATTTTTGTGATAATTACTCATAAGTATCAGGAGTTTTGTGGAGATTGTAGTAATTTAAACAGTTGAGATCATGAGTCAATTAAAGCTAGACCACCATGGAAAACCTGGAAGCACTGGACGGCCGTTTCGTCCTATTGTGGGACTCCTCAGCAGTGCGCATCCACGACTCATAAAACAATATTTTAGATCATTTTTTCTTACAAGGAAAATTTATGTTAAAAATCTTTTTAAAACTGATGCTATTAACTCATTATTATTATTATTCAGTTGGAAGTAATAAATTACCATGTACATATAAAGTGACATGAATAGAAAACTTGATTTCATTACCAAATAGTCAATCCGTGAAGTATAAACTAAAAACAAAACTTCCTGATAGTATTAGACATTTGAATGTTTTTTTTCCTCAAATGTAATTTAGTTAGGTATTAATTAATATAGCTAAACGTAAATTTTACGAATTTCTTTATGTTAAACATACTTAGGGGTGTTCACTCGATTCATTCTGTCTGTGTTTTAAACCGTCATTCATGGTATATTGGTTTATCTCACATTAATTTCATATTTCCTCTGCTAAATAAAACATATATATATACATCAGATGATTAGTTTATAATGTAGTTCTGAAGTCATGTGTGTGGTAGTGGTTGTGGATCAGAAAAGAAGTCATTTGAAATTCGTGATTTCAACTACTTTTTTGCATTTATATGAAGTCTTCAATTGGTTTTTTTACTCGATAATTCCTTAATAGTTTTAATTGGTCAATTAGTTCTCTTTTTTTAAAAAAAAAAAGAAGGCTTGTAAATAAACAATGTGTGGGTAGGTAGATTCATTAAATTTTCCGGTTATAGTCTTCTTCGATAAATTACCCTTGTATCACAGTGGGTTCTAATCATAATCTGATATTCATTTATACATCTGTATATGATTAGTGGTACGTATTTTCATTAAATTCAATTTATATTCTCATTAACGAAAAAAAAAGTTTATTATAATTAGTCGGAAAGTAGAGAGATTGATTAAAAATACTTTCAAGACATTATCAACTAAGGTTATAATCAAAGGTGTAATGTCTCCATATTTGGCAACTAGTTGATGTAAAGTGGACGGTGTCGATATTTTACGTAAGCTACACGCAAATGACACTTTTTTAAATGACAGTCAACATCATCAGTATTTCGATGCTTTAAACTCAGACATTTCACAATTAGCTTATTATCTTGTATTTTCTCAAATATATGTATCTTACAGACATAGCTTATTCATGAAATCCTGATAACATGTATTATACGTTAACATCTCTTATCATATCTAGACTATTTTTGAGTTATTTTTTAAGGTTATCTCCTACTGTATTTCAGTATCGAGATATTGATTTTGAGTTCATTATTACTGTAACTGCCTCAAGTGTTAGGATATAACACAACAGTCAGGCACGATGGGTTCAAATATGAACACAATATTAAAAGTGCTCAACTTTCTGTTTAAATCATTTTAAAACTGATAATTTTTAACTTTCTGATCATTCAGGTTAGTTTATGAGAGAACCTCGTGAGCATCTTACTGGGGCAGAGTGATTGACTAAATCGCCCACAACGATATATAAATGATGAGTTTTGCTGCGACTTCAATAAGCAAGATGAAACACCAGCATCATAGTAAATGTGGAAAGGTCCGAAAATGAGTATTTGACAATTATGACCCACTTTACACCATATTTATGGTTTTCACAATGTAGGCGACTCACAAAGAAGAAAGGATTCTATTATACTATATTATGTTCATGAAACATATTCACTGAGAGTCATATTCTTTGGCTAAATCTTTTACAACTACCGTTTCAATCGTACTAGGGTGACGTAGCTTTTTTAAAACCTCCTTACAGTTTGCTCCCAGGTTTAGTATGGATGTGACCTTATTCATTTTGTTTTGTACTGGTTTCTTGGTTTCAAATGACTGTTTTTGGTTGGCCTTTGAGTACTTTTTATACATATGACTTCCAACCGTTTCCATTATCATAGCATCTGTTCTTCACTTGACAACTACTGACTGTAAGTGTAGGTTGTGCTGGCGTATATATACTAAGAATGTAGGTCGTCTGTAGACTGAACTACTATATTTAGATTACACATGGCCTCAGTTCTTGTAGGCCTCTTATTAACAAAGGGAATTATGTAGAACGACCTGTCGAAAACCCAGTTACATGATTACTCTTGATAAGTTCCCTAGTAATGAGTCAGTATTTTTAAGTTTCTCCAAATTCGAATTAATTACTCAATCTTTACCTACATAGGTGTAGTTTGTCCCGGTAGAAAGTATTTTTCCGTCGTATGGGAATGACTTCATTATTTAAGGCATAATAACTTAACACAATTGTGTTTCACCTACCTTATCTACTCAGCAAGATTTTTCTACGATAAAAACTAAATAAAATTATTGACATCTTATCGGTGTAATATCCTAATTTTCCCTTATATTACATTATCAATGTTACTTTTGTTTATCGAAGACTCAATAAAGACCATGATGACATTTTTCTGTTCACTTAGACCTTCACAGAATTGTTACTGGCCTTTCTAGAAGAAGAATCATCTCCTCGATCAACAATTAAGCTACCTATGGATTATTATACACCTGATATGGTCAGTTCAACTAATAATTCCAGAAAGCAGGTGAATACAAGTGGTACAGAAGATGAGAAGTATCCTGTTAGCAAAATTATAACAGGTTCTACTTCACTATCTAATCCTCCTAAATCCGATAATGATTCAAACTTATTAGATCATAAACCGGTTTTCTATATGCTTTAACAATGATTACATATTTCTCACTTATTTCCTTTGAATTTTTTTCCGTGAGCTGTGATTGTAAAATTTCCATTCTCTTCTACCAGAATTTTCATCTGATTTCAAACTTTTTTATTTGTTTATCTTTCACACAATTGTTCGATGCACCGCCATTCCGGGTAAATTTCAATAATATATTCATTTTGTTATGCATTGTGACAACGTAATTCTATATAAAATAAGTATCACGGTTGTTAATCACTTCTCCAATTAAGTATTAGTTGACTATGGTAATAAATTATTAGACGATTATTATTTAGTATCAGAAGGGGTTTGTGGAGATTTTAGAAATTTTACAGATTGAAATCATGAGTCAGTTGAAGCTAGACCAGGTTTTCCATGGTGGTCTAGCTTCAACTGACTCATGATTTCAATCTGTGAGATTATTATTTAGGCCAATCACGATCTGCCTTTGACAGGAGTTAGTTTGTTAGTTCTAACCTCGAATATCATTGTAGTGATATCGCGTATCATCATTTTCTACAACATCAGTCGAATTTCCGTGGCATAGTTATGTAATTGAATGCGAACGATGACCTTTGTGTAACCTAAAAACAACTATCTTCGACGTACCCAAGGCCAAGTTACAAAACCATTTAACCATCCAAGAAACCTAAATAAACGACATTCTTAGTTAGGAATAAATCATAACTACTGTTGAGGTTCGCTAAACATAATTAATAAAAATTAACACCTGACAACTATTCTGTTCTATTAATGTCAAACAAATCTGCTTTTAGAGTTGAATCCATTTAACGGACTAGGTCTTGATTACGTTTCATAGCTGAATTCTTCAAATAATCGAATTTTATGTTAAAACGCGCACTAATTCGAGTTTATCTTACCTCAAATTTTCTTTCCGTGTGTGAACTATTTTCTGGTAGGATAGGGCTTTCTATCACTCATAAGTGCGAATGTTACTTTTAATCTACTCGCTTGATTCGTCCGTTAACAAAGCTCGGCTGATTCTTTTCTATATGGTCTGTACTGTTATTATAGATTACAATTTGATGGATAAGGTAATGGTGGCCTTAGAATCAACGAACGAATGATCTGAGTACATCTACTCATTAATTAACAGCGCTTTAATAAATGTCCTGATACGCAACTTGCTATATCTGCAGACTTATTTAAACAACCAGTCGAAAATGTTTTGAAATGACAACAAAGGACTTTATGACCGATTCGCAGGGAAATATTAAGACTGAATCAATATGATATATAACAGAGATCTGGGGAATTGACATTCAATAGCTTTTTTGGCCGATGACATGCTTCCTCGCCCATCAATTTGGATATTTAGTGATTGTGTGTCCAATATGTTTACTATTTTGTGGAAGATTTTGAGAGTTGTGTATTTTTGACTGTAACTGCCTGCCAAGCAATGTAGAAATATTTTAAGATAACAACTGGACAAGTAAGTTCGAAATTTAGATTCGTCGATCTTACCCGAATAAATTTAATTCCAAACTGATTACAGCCATGTAAATGTTAGCTTACTGTAATTAATTTAACTCACAAAATACTACCCACATTGTTACTGTGACGTTAGAATATAATAATTATTTTGTCGATGTTACTTAGTCTTGTAAAGTCAATCCATTTTTCACAGGTTGATTTTCAGTACACTTTTCTTCACATAAAATTAAATGTAAACAGTTTATTATGAATTAAAACCACCTCAAGGAATACTAGAAACCATAGTTATAAAATCTTTTCTGATTATATAATCCTACACGTTATACTGTTTATGGTACCTAAATTACCGGTTAAAAAATACAGATAGTTGGATCAGAATCAAATGTTACTGATGTGCTTCCTGTAAAATCAAGAAATTTTTGGTGTGATTTCATATTTTCGAGAACATGATCTACTTAGAAGTCTCACACTGAGAAGAACTAGTCGGTACCGCTTTGTATGAGAAGTTTGAAGACGATTTCCCTCATCTCCTTTGCTCAACAACCGTTGAAATGACATGGGACGACAGTCGTTCTTTCAAATATCTGAGTAATCTCTATGAGAATAAAGAGGTAGTTGGTTTGTTTGAATTTTATTGAAAAGGTAACAAAAGTACAGTCATTCCTCACCACTGGATGAATCACTAGAGGAATTAGATGACATTTCCGTACACTCTGTGTCTGTGTTTTTCCGATGTGCACGTTTGGAATGTGGTCTAGATGTTTTACTGTTCGGCATAAAACCGGGATATGTATCACTATGTGGATACTGCATATGTTGCGATCCAGAGGAATTCGGAGATGAAGGAAATGCTTGTCGATTTCCAGAGTTAGATGGTCGAGGTAGGACACCACTTGGCCGGAAAGACGTGGCCTGACTTGCTTGCATTTGTCCACTTCCTGGCTTAAGAGGAGGTGGAGGCAATGTGGTGTTACGAGAATGTTGATCCATTATATTTGTACCAGTAAGCATAGCGGCTAGTGAAGTCGAAGGCGGTCGAGAAGCTGGTATTTGAGGACCAGCTAATTCCGAACTGGTAGGATTTCCTGTGACGAGGTTCATATTTGGTCCAGTCCATGTAGACGAGCCACCAGACTGTGAGAAGGACATTGGTGAGGAAACCATGTTAACCCCTGGTAGAATCATATTCGGAGAGCAAGTGACTAGAATTTCATAAGATAAACAAAGTAATTTGCACCTTAACAATTATATACAAAAATAAGTGTACGCTAAAATAAAGGCAAGAATAATAATTCATAATTATTCTACACGATTGTGCCAAAATATTTCTACAATTTTGAGTTTTATTCGGATAAACCAAATGCATGCACTAATTAGTACATGGAAAAATCTGTGAGAAAAATGTTAAAACAAAACAGTTTCTTGCAAAACTTAAAATACAGTCGACAAAATTTATTTCATGACTATCGGATGTAGATCAAACAGCAACACGACAGCTATTTTTCCGAAATCCATAGTTTACGCATGTGATTAATATGAAAAGAATCGGCTTCTCACCATCGCTCCTTAATTCAATCCATCGTCTACTACAGTGAACTGCGCTGGTCAGCACAGGAATAAGTCGAAAGAAGTTAGGCGCAGTCAAACCAAAAAATGACATCATACTATGAAGTCATTGCGTCTTCAACTAAACTATAACGAGAGCTACAAACTATCTGGTTGGGGTTCTCGGGATAATCGTGAACTCTGATTGGAGACCTTTGTTTTCATGATTCTCAGTAACCCAGACTTATACATGTCTGATTTTATTTAGAATATTGAGTGAGCATTACTGCAAGTGTTTTTTCCAAAAATTTCTTTCATGACTAGTTTTCACCACCACTGATATCAATATTACTACGATGATTTACGGACAATCGAGTTTGTTCCAAAGTGCGGAAACTTGGGTCAGTGTACATTTTTGGCGGGTCTTATATCGGTTATAATTAAAAATAAACTGGTCTACCACATAAAACAATACATTACATAATAATTTTGTTTCTGACATAACTTGTTTCTTAAACACCCCTACTTGGGACCTCATCTAAATTTAAAATAGATACGGCTCTAAGTGAATGAAAACTGCCTTCCAAGGTTGATACTAGACTTGAAAATACATTAAACAAGAAACCCAGCGGCCTTTCCGGTGCTCTTCTTTGGAAAAACAACTGGAAACATGGAATGGTTACTATCTTATTTTGCTAAGCACAAAACATCTACTGTAAAACTCCTTCCCAGAATTTTCATATAGTTTTCTACGTAACTAGATATTAGACGAGAGCAAAACGGCTATGGTACTTGTTAGGCAACACCACAAACGAGATTTTGATAAAGTTGGATTCTTTTACTTATTGAGCCTTAAATAGACGTTTGACAGCACATGTCAACGAATCAAACTTTTTCATCTAAGGTAGCGTGTGATCTTTTTTATTTCTAAACGTCTTCGGTTGAAAATATTCTGTGGTATCGGTACATATTTAACTCTATGTATAGGGCTGAAATAACTACTAGTTTAAAGTACTTGAAAATATAGATTGATTATTGGTGCTCATTTTTACTACTCCATTACATATCTCATGTGAGCTTCAGTTGGTCAATCATAACGTAATATCTGAGAAAAATGTCTATTAGGAAAAGCTGCCAGATTTCACATTATCACAGTGGAAGATACCCTAGGAAAACCGAAATCGTTTTAGTCTTATGTATATTACGACATGGGATCACTAACAATGGCTTGTGCGCATCTATATTTAAACAAAATGATACCTTAATACGCTATATATTTCCGTGTTCAAGGTCAAGCACTTTTGACATAACCTAGACCGAAAATTTATTGTAAGTTCCAAGAGGATTTCACATCAGTTCTGATGTGAAAGCCGTGAGATAATACTTTCAGTATCATAGTATGGCTGCTGAATCACTTCCTTTAGTATGATTGAAGATGGCTGGTTACCCCCAAATGTCTGTATAGTGGACAATTTTGTTAAATTCACACATCAACATACTATATAAGACTTACTACTGTGACGAGGTGTATCCTGAAAAATCATTTTGTATTTCTAGGGGGTTTATAAAACCTCTTATAATAAAAGTAATAGGAACCAGAGAGTAAATAGGAAGATCAGACTGTTCATTCTTAACTATTAAATCTTAGCTTCAAATACAGACTGAACTATTTCATGGTGGCTATAATGGTTTGTCAACTACTGAAGTATAGGAAGGTCTATCACACTTATAGCTTAAGTTTAAATAATGTTGATAATCTCAGGGGATGACAAGACACCTTAACGTGACAAATTTGGGTCTGACATTCAAAAATAACAACAGTAAGTGAATATTACCTAGCGATAAACTTGTGGGTTGCGTTTGGTTACTGTGATATACAGGAGTCTGAGACGCCACTATATTCGCGTTGCCCAAACTATTTGGACCAGAACTACTGGAGACTGATGGGGTAGACGAACTAACTATTGAGGCTGCGGCAGCAGCAGTATCCAACAAAGCATCCCAAAGTGACTGCCGAAAATTTCCAGCATCATCGATATGACCCAAGTATCCACGCCGAATCTCTTCTTTATTTGGGTATGGTCTTCTAGGGTCTCCTTGAGTCCAGTTGTCTGGGGCTATTACGCCATGAGTAGCGCTAATCCTGTGGGAAAATCTAACGAGCTCTTCCATATCAATCGGATTTTTAACAGCAGTAGTCATTGAGTCCAACTTCTGTCTGGAATAGTATAAAGCAGTACTCTACTAAATATGCACAAGTAAAGAACAGAAGACTAACCAAAATAACTTCAGTCTTTTTTAAATGAAGCTGACATGACTGGATCTGTTTGTCGGATTTCGAGCAATCCGCCTTAAGGAGATCGATCTTTTTCTGTATTTCGTTGTAAACTTCGACTAAACGATGGAATTAGTACCGCATGCTGCAAAATTTAATGATATACTTTCTTTATAAGTTTCCTTAAGCTGTTGATCTTTTTCCAACAATAATTCTATGAGAGGGAGCAGTGTAACAGAGGATTTCTTTTTGGAGGCTGCAGAAAGTATGTCCCTAATAGAACAAAAGAAACTTGAGACATGTTATGTATAGCATACCTTAAAATTGAATCAGCATCTTCTAACTGACCTATCAGTTTCTGTTTTAAAGACACTCTGCTAGACATGTGACGTTTAGTCTTTGGTTAATAGATCTGCTATCGTTAAAAAATGAACAATAGCCCACGAACGCTTGATGGTGATCGTCGTTACCGACAACCACTCAACGCGAGAATCTAAGTAGAAAAACAACAATAATACAAACAGATAACTTGGTGATTTTATCGAACTATTTTATACATAGTAACGAGTGAAGCTAACAACAGTTAAGAACACCCAAGAGCGAAACTACAATTCCGTATTCAATAGTGCGGATGCAATGTTAATATTTCCAGTTGCATTAATTTTGTAAGTCGATATTCAACAACATGGTTGAAGCTAGCACCAGATGTAGTCTTCTTTAGATGCGAACAAATAATTTGGAATACCATTTAGGCGATAAAAACAGTACAACCACTCGATCAGAGCAACAAGTCCTAAAAATTGAGTCTTTACCAACTTAATCTTGAAAACTCGCGCTACCGTCTATTTTAGTTTTTAAGAGCGAAAAGCAGTACTTACATACTCAGTGAACGGAAAAAAGCCTAAAGTAACGCAATAGTTCTATAATGCGCTATTAATTTTCAATAATTATTGACACACGTTCGGATAGTTCAAACGGTGGTGGATGGTATATAATAAGCTTCCTCTTAACAGCTTTTGTGTCAGGTAGCAATGGATCGCCAATACCTCCAGTAAAGAATTAACAGAATAAGTGCTGTCCTCTAGACTTCCGCTTACTATTTATCATCCATTACTGATATATTTTCGTATCCGAACTGCTGTAAATGGTACAGAAGTTACGTATATTGATGAACCAATAAGATTTCCGAGCGAAACCAGTTTCTACTCGCTCGTATGTACAAGATCGTTCTGAAAACTCCTAAAATCCATATTTCAAGGTTTGTGACTCATACTGAAAAGGATCATCAACCACAATTATATTTCCTTTTTATCACAAATCATTCCATCATTTTCTCGTTCGCTGAGAGTATCTCAAAGTCGTCCATATACTTCCCTTACACCTTGAATAAATTTTCTTTCATCATTTTATCATTTCAAGAACATTTGTTTACTTCTGTGAATCCACTCATGACTGAAATGGAATGTAGGGCTTCGAATAAGAAAAATTTTACGTTCAAGTTCGAATTTTATTTAATGAACTAATAGGATGACGAGCGCGAATATCAAATACTGGCTTGATACTAGTTTTCACCATTCTTGGTGTCCAGTGCCTAGTAACTGACTCTCCTCACTCATTATTTATATGGAATATCATCGAGGTATGACAGAAAGTCTTCGAAGCATCAAGGTTATTTAAACGATCCGTAAATTTGACGCTGCTGAGAGTAATGTAGTATGTCATGTATCCTCGATCATCAATGCTCTGTTGGTATACTTCAACATTTTTAGTTCTTACTCCATAGTCGACAGCTCCAAGCTTTTCATTGAAGTCAGAGACTCTATATAATCAAGCCTGCCCAATAATATGGCACAGTGTACTTGGAGGTGGACAGATGAGCGGATGCTTTTATAATCAAGCAATAGGATTTACAAACCTAGCATACTTACGTCAATTTTAATATAATGACGACACTTGAATGATCATTTTTGCTCGTTTTATGTGAATATGTATGAAAATCCGAACACGTATATACCCTGGTAATGAAGCTTGTTGCTGTAATTGTAAAATTTTTTTCTTAGTCCGTTTAGATTTTCCTCCTGTCGATCTTCTGGTTGTGGATGAGATGGTCAATAAATTTTTTATTGTAGATTTTGTTGTTTCTATGTAGTGGCACCTATGACTACTTGTCAACTACTTCAATACAGATTTAACTCACACTGTAGATGTGATGGCCGTCATATTTATTCTTTCCCTCTTTGATTTCAAAACGACAGGTAGATTTGCGTCTAGTTTTATATTATTTTTTGTGCCGGTGGAGTGTTAGGAGCAGTGAATGAAATTATATGGAAGGAAACACAATATAAGAAAAGGTGAGCCGACGACTCGTTAATCACATAAAATAAACTTGCATTTAATAATGAAAGCAATTGATACCAATAAAAAAACCGAAGCGTGAGATTGAGACAATCCGATAAATGGAACAAGAAACTGATAGTGTAAGATTTCGGGCGTATTACAATTTTGTTGCTTAAACTGGCCGAAATCGTGAATAATTTTAAATGCGAATCGAAACACACTTTTGGAACTGGGAACACTCATTGTCATAACAAATTACTTGATTTACAACTCTTGATACTTTTGTTATTAGTATTACTGTAAAGTTACATATTACATTCCAGGGGAACTGTACATGATATGACCGGAAAAGAGAATAACATTCCTGCATTGATAAAAACGCTTATTTTTGGAACCGGTTATAATATCATGTCATTTGTCAGTTTTTTTTTGTAAATGTAATTTAGATATTATTGTTCAAGTTTGTATGATAATTCTTACTTGAATAACTGGGTAGTAAATTTTTTTTAGATTATAATGTATATTTAACTTAATTTTTTACTACGAACCATCATTTAACTTACCACCTCGTATCGAGTTTCGACTTTCCAAGATCGTGCGTGTCTGAACAAACTTCCACAGTTATTACTAATCCTAAATCTCCTTAGTTAAGAATTAAAAATTCAATTTTAACGTTCCATGACTCAGTCATCAGTTGAAGTTATTTCATTCACATGCTACCTTAGGATTGTTATAAAGAATGTTAGATCAGACCTTTAAGATATCTTGATCGAGTGAACACGGGTTTATTGATGAAAAGACCTGACGAAATTTACTTGAGTGATGATCCTTCAATCTATAAGTTGTTTTTACTTCCGTCAGAAACAATCCAAGTCATCTCGGTCTGTCTATCGGCTAAAGACTAACATGCACAAGATCATTGGATGCGGGCTAGGATATTCTAATGACAGACTCATCTTTTTCTCTCTGCAGTAGTGAAAATTATGGAATCTTTTGAAAACAACTTAGTATAGTACTAACATCAAATGAGTGATTATTCTCCCAGATATACTCACAGGTACTATTTATTGAATAACTCTACCCAGTTCGTACCTTATTTCCAAACGCATGTTAGAAATTACTAACCATACCTATAAATCATGGCGTGTGTCTACTATGTCAGAATGATACTATCGTTATTTGTCGGATAGTTGAAGTTCACAAGTTTGCTTCAGGAGAAAATTTCGTAATAATTCTGACGATACCACCCGGTTCGTTGTTATAAGGTTGTAATGTTCAGATCCACAATCCATTAATATTTCTAGGTTAGGTTCTTGATGCAAAGCAGACAGATAAAAGGGGATAACCATATATCGGTAAACAATAAAAAAGAAATAATCTTCGATACACACGTGCAATCAATATCTAAATCGTCTTCAATTAATGGGCTTTCAAGGTGCAAACATTAGGCAGGATAATGAGTAGAATAATTATTTCTAGCTGCCATGCTTCTATACTATCCCATTATCTAATAACACCAACATTTGAGAGTTAAATCCATGGAACGTCTCAACCTTAAATCGATTCCGAACATCTTTAAGCCATTTAAGACCTGAAATGGTTTTACGATTTCTTAATCCCTCCATATTATATTAATTCTTCGTCCTCCTTTATTTACGAAGATCGTCTTGTGTTTATTCGATCTTCTATTTGATTTTAGTAAATGTGACCAGATTATTCTAAACGTATTGTGTAAACACATCACATTTTTCAGACCAAATTCATCTTCTCAGTCCTCTATCAAATCGTTTCAAAATTTCCGTAATCGCATGTGATCTTATTATTATAGCTGACCACGTATTTGCACATCCGCACAATTTTTATTTCACTATGTGTTCTAATATTCACAGAATGCTTAAGTCTCGTCTGTTGCATAATTTTATCTAACATTTTAAAATAAACACACATAATCCTCTCGGTTGATCACGCCACTATTAAGACACGTTTGCATAGGTAAATAATACATGGGTAGAGCTATGTTGTTTTGCCACTATGTTAACGGGCTGTTAGCTGTAGTGAGATTTTTCTGTAATACTTAACTTTATAAAACGTTTAAAAGCTGAAAATACGAAACCATTCGTAAAAACATAATCATTCAAGTAATGTTAAATTGCATCTCCCTTATCTGCCTGTTTACCCACTTTACAGGACAGGTCACATTATTTGAGAAGTGAAATAAATCTAAAGTTCTAGTAGATAAATACTCTGCAGATGTAAATTGCTGGCAAATTGGAGGCAACTTCAACATAAGACTTACCATATAAGCTTATGGCTTCAGTCAAATAATCCACGCTGAAACTGAAAGCATTTACATGTAGTTCATTTAGCAATAATATGTTGTACAGGAGTTAACGTAGGACAAATATATGGCTGGAATAAAATACCCTAAATTTCGCATTGTGCGTGCAGTAGTAAATCAGAAATGAAGTCACTTTTACAGTTTTCAACTTGTGTATACCTCAAATATAATTCAGTTCATATGTAGAACACTAATGCTAACAAATTACGTTCAAGTACCTGCTGAGTATAAGATAATAGGTCAATCTTATTTTCTAACTGAAAGCATCGCCACCATCAGCTCACACAAATTGTTTCCAATAGGGTGTCTCTTAACTCGGAAAATGTAAGCTCTTGACTGCATAAACGGCCATTTGACTTATAAGGTGAGTTTGTAATGTTATCGGTTTTTACTACACAATCCCCAAAGCTGAACATGAGACAACTGTGAAGTTGCATGTTCAACAATTAACACGAAGAGAAGATCAGACGTGAAGGTGAGAAGTATCAATTAATTCAATCAGGTGGCATGCATCAGCCTCGCAGACGTGGTCATACCTGTGTAACTTACCTCTCATTCATATTAAATATATATGATGTCTTATCTTCAGCCTAAATATGTTCTTCAGAAATATTGGACTTTATATGGTTGATTCTGAAACAGATAATGTCTAACTTTAGAATTATGAACAAACTAGCTCAAAAAAAATCCAAGGCACAATAAAACTAATTACATTAAGGATAATAATTATTATTCAATTAAATAATTTCAGATCCACCGGTAAAATTTTAACTCATTTTCGAAAAGCTTACAATTGACACGAGTGCTGCAGTGCGTGTGATTTACACGGATATACATAAACAGTACGTGCGTAGATTCCCAGTAGCGTTTTTAATGACAGAAAAGAAACACGGGAAGAAAAATAATCGATTTTAGTAGCAATAGGAATGTAAGGAATAATTCTAGAACCATGTATTATTGATGTATTCAGTGTAGCATTATCATATTCTACAAAATCAGTCCGAGTTTTTACTAAACAACTAAATGTTTGCACTGACCAAGATTCTGGTTCCTAGACTTGATGTCGTTGCCATGACAGTCACAGGGGGGAATTCAGCAGACGCCGTTGAGGATGGTGTAATAATAATAATAATAATAATAATAATAATAATAATAATATATTTCTGCATGTGCAGGTACACACCGTTTTTACAGGCATGATCTATAAATTACAACATTTGTTGGTTCGCAAAATGCTTCCCAACTTATTAAGTTTATAGT